CACTTTTCCTCCTACGAGGCTCACAGGCGGCAGTGGCAGGCCGGTTTCCCACAGCCTCCCCGTGCGGCCATGCTGGGGTGGCCTTCACTTAGAAAAAGCAAACACAGCATCAGGGTGAACACCTGTATGCGCTTGCCAGGAAAAGCGTGGGGCTGAGCTGGCACGGCTCTCAGACGGGCTTTCCTCTCTGCACTTCAGCGGGAAACCCCTACACAAGCCTGTCCCGTGAGGTTCCCTTAACTCTGCAGCCGACCTTCTGGCTACTCGGCCGTGGCTGGGGGCTCCGGCACGGTCCGTGCTGTTGCGAGCCGCGGCCCAGCGGTTTCCCCTGCGCTCGGACACGGCCCAGCCCCACCTGCCTGCCTGCCCCCCGTCCTCCCGTCCCGGTGCTGCCACAGCCACCTGTCGCTCCCGCTTGGCCGAGGGCTCGTCCTTCACCTCGGTGACGAACAGACACGGCACCTTGCGCTGCACCGCTCCCCGCCGCCTCATGGCCCCGGCCGGCCGCCCGCGCCCGCCGCCGCCGTGCCTGCGCCCGCCCGCCCGCGCTGCCCTACGGGAAATGGAGTCCGGCGCGGCCGCCGCTGGGGGCGCTGCTGCTGCTGCTGCGCGGGGCGGGGCCGCCTCCCGTTCAACATCGGGCCCAGCAGCGCCCGACTCCGCTCGGCCGGCCTGGCACGGCCCGGGGCAGCTGCGCTTTCTCCAGCACCGGCTCCTGCGAGAGTAGACACCTATGGACTCCTGGGTCTATAGGTTCTGCCAGGAAGTTACTCCAGCGCGGACTTCTCATGGGCTCACAGCCCCCCCACCCACCTGCCCTGGCGTGGGGCCCTGCGCAGGCTGCGGGTCCATGTCTGCCGCACCGTGGATCTCCATGGGCTGCAGGGGCACAGCTGCCTCGCCATGGCCTTCACCACGGGCTGCAGGAGACACTCTCTGCTCGGCATCTGGAGCACCTTCTCCCCCTTCTTCTTCCCTGACCTTGGTGGCCGAGGGTTCTTTCTCCCACACATATTCTCACTCCTCCCTCTGACTGTTGCCCAGCTGTGGTGTCTTTGTGGTATCAGGGATTTGTTTTTAAGACCACAGTTGCACCAGCAAGAAGTTGGGTATTATTTAAGCTTCGCTAAATTGTTTTTTTCCACTTCACATTAAAAAAGTACCAGAATGGGTGACTCTTTGAAACGACATGATATTCTATATTTTACTTGGATGCAGCAGAGAGGAAGGAAGGTGTTCAGGCTGGACAGGTCATGTAGCAGCATGATGCTGGTGTCCCAAGCTGGAAGAGCAGTTGGCAACTGTTAAAATGTAACATTCCATCCTGGCTAACAACTGCTCTCAGTTCAGTTCAACAGTTCAGCCACATGGAGAAGGTACCACATGCTTCCTTCAACTATTTTTTGTTTTAGCTACACTATCCACTGAGTTTATTGTCGTCTGAAGGTTTGGCATTTGGAAGAAAACTGTTTTCTGGATGATTTGCCTGACTGCTAATAGCTTTAATTCAAAGAAGTACTTACATTCCACCTGGTAAAAATCCAGGGATGGTTTTAGGGCTCTTGGTTATTCCATCCGTTTTTAAGGGTCTGGGAGTTAGGTGTTAATGCCTGGGAGATGGGCTTTGTGTCTCAGGGGGTGGCCCAATTGTACTGACTACAGTCCAAAAGTTTTTGGAGATGCTGCTCTTAGACTTAGCTGTTAATGTCTGGAACTGGGAGAAACCTGCTTCCAAACATTCCAATATTTTCAAGTAGGGCCTTGTTTTCATTTATAAAATTACTCAGAAACTCATTCTAAAATAACACCCAACGTGACATTTACAATTTTCAGGTGGGATGCCATTTACATCCAGGATATAAGCCTGAGTTTACGTATTCAGGGTGAATCTCGTGAGCCCTTGCCTCTTTGGAATTACAAGTTTATCATATGTTTGAGACAGATACCTCAGGTTATAAGGAGAAGTGAATTGCATCATCAGAGATGGTGCTAAAAACTGCAGACTGATAAGATGGAGATGTGGAACAACAATTTTATGACTAACAGGAATGACTCTTATCGTGAAAGTACTATCTCTGCAATATTGTGCAGACTTTTTAACTGGTGCCACATTGATCAATAGAGGGACAGCTGCAGTATGAGCATATGTATGAGTAAAGCAACAATTAAATAATTAAAAAAATCCATGTAGACAATCTATTATTCCCATTAGGTTTTTGTTTGTCATCTTTAAAAACAGCTGAAGTTGAAAGATGATGTGAGCAGTGCAATAACAGTAGTGGCAACATCAAATCGCAAAATTTTTAAGTTTTTGTCAGGAATCTTTTTGGGTTTTGTTTCTTACCATGTGTTTTCCCATAGATTCATGTCCTTTAATAGTAAGACAGTACAAGTGCAAGATTTGCCCTTGTGCAGCACATTTAATTGGAGATTTATCTGATTTTTCCATTGTACAGAAAAGTAAACTCAGCCACGTCAGTTAAATGACTTAAGAGATTTTTTTCTTTCCCACCAGCTCATGAGAAGTCTGCAGTAAACTAAGTAGACTGTCTTACCCCTATTGTAATCTAGAAACAATTTGACATCACGAAACAGCATTGACTTAACTCAGTAACTTTAGAGCTATCTAGAGCTTATGACAAGTCATAAAAGATAAATTGAAATGTTGTAAACTATAAGAATGTGGTCCCACAAAATCTTGATCATACATTTATAGCAGTGTGAACTCTCATATATTCAATCCTAAGTTCACACAGCATGTACTAATCCATTTATTCAATTTTGGTTGTTATATTTACAACACCTGAAAACTGTTTTCTCCTGCAGCAAAACTACAGCAAGTTTTCCTGTTTCTGGGAGACAGAGCCTGTAGGCTGTAGGAGGATAAGCTGTGACTTCTTTCACAGAAAACCTCGTAATATAAATGGACTTTATTTGCCACCTAGTAACAGTGAGTAAAAATATTTTCTAAACAATTTGTTCACTAGAGTAATAAAATAGACAAAAATATCCTTCCAGTGCTTATGTAATATATAGTAAGGTCAAGAAATGCACCATGATGAATCAATCAGGTATGATCTGCTAGCCTAGCAAGTTTAAGGGAAGGAAAGGAATTTGAATAAGATTACCACATGAATGATTTTAGCTGTCATATTATGAATCTTTATACCTGTTAGTGATATAAAAGATGAAGTCACATTTAGGTTGCTGAGATCCATGGAATAAAAATGTTGCTTAACTTGAATTTCTGATAGAGTAAATCTCTCTAGTAATTCAAATGGTTAGTATTCAGGTAATAATTTAAGAGAAATCAAAAGCAATATGTGTGGTGGGATGAGGAGGGACACCAATATCTGTTGATATAGCACATGTATGGATGAGACACCCCTTGTAGAGATAACACCAGATAACAGAGCTGTTTGTGCAGATATATTTCCAGTTTGTTGTTTTGAATAAAAATTTGGGGCTTGAACATTGGTTAAATATTACTGAAGTACAGTAATAGTGTATAAAGCAACACTCTTATTTGTGGAAAACTCCACCATTACAAGACCCTTTTTTTCCTCATCCATTTCTAAGAGGAGCTCTTAAATACCAGAAATCCTGGTAGACAGCTGGAACCTGGAACAGGATAATAGTCCAGGGCAAAAAACAAAGCTGTCAGAAGCAGGAGTGAGGAGAGCAAGTCACCATGAAACCTGATGTTCCTGAAATTGCCCTAGGAAGATGTAGCCTGTGGCATCTGGGCATGTAGAGCCTAACTAAGCACACAGGATCAAGGCAAGACCTGGAGTGCTGTTTTTCCAGATGCCCATTCTGCCTTTAGCATAGCTCCCCTTGCTCAGCACACTGTGTAAGGCTGTGGTGCAAGTCAGAGACTGTGCCCAAAAGCACTGTGGGCAAGGGTCTCCTGTGCCAGAGCAATGTCTGACAATCACAGCTGGAAAACAGACCAAACCCTTTTACTTTTTACTGAAATATGTACGAGTTCAAAGCCTGTGTGTGCCACATTGCTGATACTTAGTGTGCTTTTTCTGTTGTTCTTATATTCAAAAATCTTGTTAAACAAATTTAATTTAACTTATTCTACATGGGGCTAAAAATAGCCTGTTCTGAACACTGGAAAAGGCTCCATCAAGTTAGTGTTGTATCTTACACATCTCTTACATGAGGTGCAACAAGTCTTATTTGCAATCATGTTATGATAATAGGTTTAACATTATATACATGATGCTCATAGGCAAGCAAGAGATGCACAAAAATAAAAACAACTGGAATAATAGAAAAATGCCCACTCTTTCTTTAAGACTGGAAAATATATCAAATTTCACTATTTTTAATATAATGCACAGGATATTGTGGTTGAAAATCAGTCAGCTAAAACAATAACTGTAAACTCACCATCTTTCATAATTTTTCTTTTTAGTCCATTGTATTTCCTTGCTCTTGGAATGTGTTATCCCAGTACTAAAGCCATATTGCTGAAAATATTATGTGTGGAGATTAATTCCTTAGCAAATTAATATATAAATTCCTTAGGAAAATTATATATATTCAGATTTTCTTTCTGATTAAGTGCAAATTATTTTTGTGTACTTTACATTCCTTCACAAAATCTACATTTTGTACCTAGTAATGAGAGTTGAGATTTAGTTTGATATAAAAAAGTCTTCAAATTTAAAATGAACAATCCTGTGCTTAGCATTGCTGAATTCTTCAAAATGGATGCTGTAGGGAATGATACAGCATGTTTGCAACTTTTTAAAATAGTGCAGTGATGAAAATGTTCCACATTTCAAAAGTCTGTACTCAGTAGTGCCTGTGTCCATTCAGAGGAGCTGGCACCTGTGTTTTTCATACTTTCTGGAGTTGGAAGGCACTCTCTTGCCAGCCTCTGCACAACATATATAATGCCTAATCTTGATAATGTTTTCAGAAGTATGCCTGCTGCTGTCAGTCTGGATGTGATACTTTAGTTTCCTTCTACCAAAAGAAGTTTAATGTTCTTGTCTGCAGATGTCCCATTGAAACAGGATGTCCAAGGAGGCATTCTGCATCCAGCCCATCGTCAGGACTCACTCAGAAATCAAGACAATGTTTTAGTACCAATTCATCCTCCACTGATTATAAACCTCAGTGATGAAGAGGATGATGAAGAGGATGATGAAGATGATGATGACGAGGATGACAACTGTAAACAGTTTTTTTTCTTTTATAAGCAAGTTGTATGGGTTTTGTCAGCTCTTGCAATGTACCTCACAACTGGCTTGTTGTAATAACCATGAAACTTTTAGAAAAGACTTGTTGAAAAGTTTTTTGAGATAGTTTTCAGCTGATCTTTAAAATGTTGGAACTATTAGTCACCAGATGTGAGAAGGCAGTATTTTCTAAAGCCTGCAATCCAATTCAAATGGCCATCAAAAACTCTTCAAAATTCTGGGATGAAATTACAAGTTTGGGAGGTATTTGTTTCTGAGAAATAAACTTTTGAACAAGGGCTGTATGCACTCGTCAGTGAAAGTGAAGTCACAAGTTTTTTACAAAAGATAATTTTGAGTTAAGTAATTTTTCAGCCAATTTACCAAACTCTATAGGCAGTAATTTTTTAGAGAAAGATATTCTTAAATCTAGCAAAGAGAGTTGATGCGAAACTCTCCAGTAGTTGAACTGAATGTTTTTACATTTATATATACATATATGTTAGTACAGTTAAACCATTGACCATATCTCTCTTAGAGATAAGAGACTCATGGGGATGGAACAAATGGCACATTCCTGGAGAGTGAAAAGTGAAGGAATGATCTGCTTTCAGGCATGCATTCAGCAAATTGCTGTGCTGCCCCAACCCATTTTTCACTTTCCCACTGCCCATCAGGTTGGCTGGTAGACCAGCCTGTTAATGCCTCCTAGCCTGGCCTCAGCCTGAATATGCCACTTAAACAGTATAGAAAGCAGGGCTTTGCTAATCCTCATGGCCTTAACTGGGAGAGATCCAGAGCTCTCACTTCACCAGCTCTGCCAGCAGGCATTACAGGGCTTTGTAACTTTGGGCAGAGGTTTTGTGACAAGCACTCTCTGGTGACACATTGGATCCAATTTCCTTGTGGGTATAAATGAAAGATTATTTTGAAAATGAATATTGAATATATTTTTGAATCCTTTTGAACTAACAAATGTTTGCTTTTAGAAATATTTTTTAACTGCAATCCCATTGCACATAAAAATACCTAATATTAAGTAATCATTTTTCAGTCCAGAAGCACAGGTTGCAGTCAAAACCTAAAATAACCAAATGACAAAAATTCAAGTCATTAGCATATTTTATTATTAAGAATTATCAAAGGTTTTTGTATAGTTATCTTGTAATCTTTTACAAATATTTCCTGCAGATGTTTCTACCTGGATGCCTAAGACTGTTATAGATATTGAAGAGGAAAGAGCAATTAGGGATATATGCTATAAATCTGGTAAATATGAAATTAATCATTCTTTCCCTAAAAGCAATGCTTCCAATACAGTAAACTTTAGTGCTTTTTTTCCCCATCCTGGGACGTGTCTAGGAGAGTATTATGGGATTCAGAACCCTTATAAACACCAATCAACAAAAACTGTGTCTTCACCATGGCAAGATGAGTTATTACCCTTGGAAACTACTGAGCAAAACTTGCAGAAAGGCAAGTATTTTGATTTCTTTGCATTGTATTTACCACTACTAAAACTGCTGTAACAGGGAGAAACTATTACATAGTTTGCACTTCCTCTCTGCTTTTTAAATTAGGTAAAAATAAAATATTGCAGAAACATATTTGTATTTGTCAGCAAATTGCACAAACACTTCATTCTTTTTGCCATATATATAGTCACACTTGTGCTGATGACCTGCATAAATTGTGGATGGAAAATGTAGAAATGGGCTATTAACACAATCTTTTCTGACATATACAACATAGATTTTTCATGTAATTTCATGATAAAGATTTATGTAGTCTAATTTTAACCATCCTAAGGTTAGGAATGTAGTTTGAATTTCTCATCTAGGCTCTCTGGTGAAAATGAAGAGAGACAGGAACTCCAATGAATCTCCTTTTTATTGAATCACCAGGCAGTGCCAAAGGGTGAGATGAGCCACTTTTCCAGAGGTGCTCCTGGACCTCTGCTGGCTCTCTTGGGTGCCTTGATGTCAAAATGTAGTCTTAAGTCAAATTTTTCTATAACTAAATTTAGATTAAATGCCTCCTTCAACTGTCTTGTAAAAGAAGAACAAAAGAGTTACATTTTGTTTTGAATTCTGGACTATCCAACATAATTAGGTTCAAAGGAATATGAATTTATAAATATTTACCTCAGTTCTTATTGTTTATCATTTACTGTTCTCTTCTAATTTCTAAATTTGAAATGTTTGTTTTTAAAATAGTTTTGATAAATTCTTTCTAACAAATACACAGATATATTTAGTGTATAGATGAGAGAATCAGTGACAGATGTGTGAACATACCTTTTAAGAAGTGTCTTTATTTAGTGTCATCTATCATTAGATGCATTAATAGAAAAAGATTGATTTGCTTCTCTAAAACAGTTTTTCAGTTGAGTTCTCTGAGGCTTCAGGTACTGTGATGACATGCATTCTGGAAATGCCATAAATTCCATTAGATAGGATTAATAAATATAATTCATGGGTAGAGAAAAGCTCATCAATAAGCAGGTAATTTATAGCTAGGTCTTTACTTTGGAGCCATAGTCTTCTTTAGTCTATGAGTTATGATATTTTCTAATAGAGCATGAAAGATAGACATCAGTTACACTAGACAGGATTCAAATAATTAATAAAAGAGAAAGAAGGTTATGAAATGAGAGGTTAAGAGAAATTGCACTAAACTAATCAATGGCTCATAGGGGTGGGAGGAAGAGAATGTCAGTGCCATTACCTGTGCTTACACACAGCTAAACATTCTTTCTGTTACCTTTCCAGGTGATGGCAACACGATTCCTATAAGATTTAATAATACAAGAAAAGAAAAGGAGAGTTCAGAAAGAAGAGTATCAATAGAGAGTATTCCCAGAACAGACCTTAAATCCTTTGACAGTGGAGGTAATATACTGTAGCATCAGTCTCTCATTGCTGAATGTCATGTGATAAATAAAATAACTAAATATGCATGCAATAAACTTCCACATTTTGCATTTGAGTTATTATGTGTTCTTTATGTTCTAGACACTCTTTCTCATGCTGAATCATTAATTATAACAATAAATCATAAACATTGTTTACGATTATATATTATGCTTATTTTAGGATTGCAGTGGAAAAAATCCTTTATGCAGATTACAGTAGATTTTGGGAAAGAAAGGGTTCTGTGGAGTTATGGAAAAACAGGCACAGAAATGCAGACAAATTGGTTAGAGCCTGGTGCTAGTAACACACACCAAGGACGTGTGTTTGATCCCTGTATGGGCCATTCATTTAAGAGATGGCCTTGGTGATCCTTGAGTCCCTTCCCACTCAGAATACTCTGTGACTGTGATTCTGTGACTGTCTGAAGTCTAAATGCTTTCAAAAACTGTTACTTTTGTGAGACTATCCATAGTTAAGATGAAAAAGCTTTGTATTTTTCAGTTATCCTACAGAAAAATAGCAAAGCTGTAATCCTGCAACTTGTGCAACAGGATCCAATCCCTCTGCATAAACTTGGTTGACCTTAATGAAGACACACTGTTTTGACAAATTGAGTTCAGTATTGAATCATGTTAATAAAGTTGAAGAATGCCACATTCTCTTTGAATTTGCTTAATACTTAGTGATATTCAATCCTTTTTTCATAAATATTTATTAATGATAAAAATAGTAATAATTTTAGTATTCTTTTTTCCCCCTTAGTTTATCAATACAAAATAGTGCAATACCGTGCTAGGCCTGCTTCCTCTAGCTTGAAGCAAACTGGTGTGTGTCTTCTAGCTCCAGAACTATTGCACAGTAGAAATGAATCTTACATTCTGCATCTTTTCCTGTCACCTTTATGTACAAAAGTATCTTGCTTTTTGGATATTCTTTATGTCTGTATAAACAGTTAACACTGAGCCAAAATTCAATAATTGAATCTCTGTTCACAATTATATGCATTTAAAGCTTTTAACAGACTGTTTAACAACTCTGCTTACCAGACTATTTTCTCTAATTTTTGTGAGCCTTATTAAATCAGCTATTTGGTTTCTATTCACTTCAGTTAAAAACATGCCACTTAAAAAGCAGACTGTTTGCATTGTTCACCTTTCTCAGGGTGCTCTCAAGTATAGATAACTATGAGACTTCTTTCCTGCAGGAGGTGGTGGTTCTGTGATACAGAGGAGCACATTTATTGATGGAAACAGATTTGAGGCACTACCTAGGGATAAAGAACCAATTATATCGAAGTATTCCAATGTGAAAGGTACTTCATTACTATGTATTTGCAAATTTTTAGATTAGATTACATTTGTTCCTCTGCAAGTGTGTTGAACATTATATATTTTGTGCAAAACCAATCTGAAGTGAAATTTCCATTAACGGTGTAAATTCTTTCACTGCAAGATGACAGCAGTTGTTGAATGTTATGGTTTAATTCTGCTTCTTTCAGCCAGTTTGCATCCTCTGATAGATTCAGTTATGAGTCCCTGAGTTACAAAAGTCTGATGCACATGCTAGATCACGGGGAATGCTGTGCACTTTCCACTTTGGACAAGTAAAACAGATTTGATTGTAGGTAGTATCTCACAGAACACAGGACTTAATAAAACCAGCAAAATATAGTTAAGGACAGAACATAACACTTGTGATAGAGTATGTTTATCAAAACCTAGTCATGTAAGCAAATTAAAATACCTACACTAAAGTACCTTAATGATAAGTTTCATCCTTTTCGTGGGAGAGTTCCAGAGTATATTTGTCAACTTACAAAATATTATTGTGAGTAGATTGTTATCCAGTCATTTCTTGGCAGTTTTAGAATAAAAGGAAAAAAAAGGACAGATTTTGGTCTTTAAACTACCCCATAAACTGAAGCAGAAGTGTAGCATTTCTGCCTCATTTTGGCCTCAAATGGCAGGAACCATAAGTGCTTATTTACATTAGCAGGAAAAAAGGGAGAACAAAGCCTCATCTTCCCAAAGAGTAGCAGGGCCAGAAGAGTACTGTGGGTACTTTACAATGCAACTTTCCCTGTGAAGTTCAGTTTGTAGTTTGAAGTGGGCTTACCTATGCAACCAGTGCTGTTGCAAATTTACCTCCATCATTTGTAGTATTTTGTTATGTTCCTGCACTGCACATGTCCAGGGTGTATCCAGATGCTACAGGCAGAAGTCATTCATGGTTCGGCCTGGCATCCTTTGAACTGCATGGGTTGGCCTCCATGGGCTCAGCCATGGGTGTTCTAGAGGTCCACACCTATGCAATGTAGAAAAAGGATGATCTGATTTTTGCATTTAGAGTTAATTTTTAAGTTGTTCTTTAAGATTTCTTCTGCTAGAGGAAATATAGACACTGTTGCTTTCCTTCTGGGGAATGACACTTTTAATATAATTAACATGTGAAACCATGTGCCTTCCAAAGGGACCTATTATGAATTAGAGGATTATAAAATAAAAATACTACAGTATTTTTGGCTATGAACATTTTTTGTGCTTTCTAAAAAGTGAATACATGTTATTTTAATCTCTCAGAAACAAACTACACTGAACTGGTAAAGAACCACCACTTTAAGGAAGTAAAGGAAAATAAAAGGATTTCTGAGGAGCGAAGAAATTCTACTAGTGCAGTAACTGGCAAAGGTATTTTGAAAAAGTCATCAGCTTATTCATTTGTATTTACTAAACTGTGAGATGTTTTAGCACTATCTAGTAAATTTCTGTTCTTAGTGTCAAATAGGGGCAGCCCAGTCTTGGATTGGTCTATCTACAAAGAACATTTTTTTAATCTTGTTTGGTCTCCAGTTGCATGCACTCTGTGAAATTTTGAATAATAAGACAACCATTTTGGTTGTATTTTCCCTTTTAGGAATTCACACTCCAGACCCCAAAGGAAAACCAGGTTATCAACAAAGGGGTCAAAGTAAGGACGATGAAACTGCTTCTTCCAGTCCATATGGGAGAGACACTGGAAGATACAATCATTTAAATTCTCCAGAACCTCGACGATCAGCTTATGTCGTCTACCGGACTGTCACTCAAAAACCAAAATTCAATGGACCTACAGGTGGGCTCCTTCATACACAGAATTCTTAAAATGCCTGTCTATATTGTGCTGCTCTCAATTGGGTCCCTGCAGCGAAATAATAAGTTATTTATTCTTAAATACAGGCATGAGTAAATTTGATCAAGCAGAATTTTCACAAGTTGATTTTAGCCATATCCATAGACAGAAACGTAAAGATTTATAAAGCTTTACAGTTTGTCAGACAGAATATTCATGAAAAATAATTGAGCCATCTTTGCAGTAGGAATTCATGGATGCAATGAAGTGGTGATGTGCACAAATATAGTGATCCCCACTTTATACAGCATGTCTTATGTGATTTATTCTCTTCAAATATTTAATAAACCTTGAAAAATCCACCTTTAAGTTCTTTTGTTCTATTCTAATTTTATTCTAACTACTTCTAGTAGAACTATGTTTTGCAGTAGAATTTCAGTTGTGTCTCAAGAATTGTTTCTTGTTCAACCTTATTTTTCCCAGTAGGAAATATGCTGCTTGCTTTGCAGAATATATTTCCAAATCTGGGATTTCACTGGAGATTTCATGATTATGAATTTTTATTTATTTTCATGATTTAGGATTATTTTTTGTCTTGAATAAACAAGGGTTTTGGTCATATTCGCAATTCTGTTATCGGTTTAAATGTAGTGTGAATCTTTGTATTTAACATTAGTATTATTTTTTTCACATTAATTATGTCAGACAGAGGACTGAATCTATTCTTTCTGCTGCTCATAAAGGATGGTACTTTCCTTCATCTTACTCTACTGTCTTCTTGATGGTACATGCCATGTCATTAATTTGAAAAGAAGCCTACAGGTGGGATTCTGAGTCTTGCATCTTCCTTTCTGGCAATCTGCTTCAGATTTATTACACATTTCACTTTATTTTAATCTTACTAGTACATATATAGCCTCACCCAATCTACTACATTATTTGGGCTTTATTTGAATTTTCAGTTTCTCTGTTTATGGTTTCTCTGGCTTATTTGTTTTTTCATTTGTAACTTTGTCAACAGATTTTGTGGTAAATAATTTAAATAATCAGAAATCAAAAAAGTGATTTCGTCTTGGCAGTTTCAGTCATCTCTCTTAAGCTGGGCTCATTTTCCATTTTGAGGTGCCTCCCTGTCTTAATTTCTAATAACAAGGACCTCCTTCAGACAGAGTAATGCCTATTTTAAGGTGAATAAACCGAAAAAAATTCCAACATTGGTGCTTTGTCTTGAGTACAAATAGTTTTTTCTGTGAATATTTGCTTTCATTAAATGTGAACAAGGTGGTGTAGAGATGATATAGAGAGAACATTCTTTATGTGAAGAATGCATTTTATTAAATTTCCAGGTTAAAAAAGGATAGAACATTTTTGAAAAAATGGTAATCAGCATTTTTCTTTAAGAGCAATCATTTATATTTTTGTTGTCTTTATTTCAGCAACACCTGAGTCCTATGGTCAGAAAGGCTCCAAACAAAAGAATCAGCCTGACGCCAATAGGAGATTTTGGACACAAACAGAAAACTATGGTAACATTTACACATTGTGCATAAACTGAAAATTGTAGGATTATTACAAAATTATAATTTTAATTAATTGCATTAAGATGGAATTAAAAGAAGGATATGAATAATATTAATTTTAATTGATTTTTTTAGAAAATGGTTTGTAATTAGGCAGCATATTCTGAGGCACGATCGAATGTCTAGCAAAAAGCCATAATAAAGCCTTGTGTATAGGGCTTTCACAAGCAGGGATAAAACAGAAGCTGTTGATGTCTTTGGGAAGGTCTTTAGCCCAGGAACATTCCCTTGGTTAAAACCAAGGATGTTCATAGCAGAATCTCCTCGTTTGGAAGATCACATGAGCCTCATGGAAATGCTACAATGTTGCAAATTATCTTTGAAGTTCTAGAGAGTCTGCCTTTAGTACCAGCTTGTGTTTCAGAGGCAATATCTGACCCATCTGAGACATTCATTGAAACTTCAGTCACTGCACTATTTAATTCACATATCAGACTAAGGGACTCTTTCCTGAAATTGTGGCTGAAATTAGGAAACAATGTATATGTTTTTCCTACAGGCAAATATACTTCAGGATCTTCTAATTCACCAGCTTGGAGGAAAAGAAATCCACAAGCAAAACCATTCTCTAAATTTAAAATAACCACTCAGGTAACTGATAGAAATGGTTACAATTCAGCCTTCTTAGGAGAAATGGCATGTCTCTGCCCACCTAGAAAATGTAAAAGTGCTTGTAAAACTTCCTCATTCAAAACCTGCAAGATTCTGATCAATTGTTCTGATGAATTCTGGTCAGTTGAGTAGCTGAAAGAGCAGTTAATAGTTTTGTTTACAGGCATGTACCTTTGCCTGAATAACTAACCTGTCATTTCTGTTTCTTTTACCAATAACACTTATATGAAAGCAGAGTGCATACTCTAAAATAAAGTGCTGCAAAATGCAAGTTTTGGATTCTAGTGCCAGACAAATACAGTAGAGACCATATAAGTTTAATCTGTTTCTCTGCTGGATTGTTCGCGAAGCTTCAGCAATGACTGAACTGCAGTAATTAGCTGAAGTCTGAAGCCATGAAAGGACTCAGGCTACAAAATGTTTGCAAGATACCCTAAAGATCATTCATACATTTTACAGCTGCCCTGAAAGCTGAGATTAGAATGTCTATCTCATGTTAAATTTTAGTTCTTAAAATGTTTCTGAAGGAGCATGTAGTTTTACTCTAAGAAATTATGCACAGAATTTTGTGTCTATCTGTTTTGACAGCAGAGTAAAGAAGACATGGAAGTGAATAAAAAAGGAGAAAAAGAAACCTGTAAAGGGAAATAAGGAAATGATCAACTCGGATGTGATAGACGATGAAGAAAGATGAAGAAACTGCAAATTCCAAAAAGAAGGTGCAGGAAGGAAGCACACTATAGTGTTTCAAAACTGGTTAAAAATTCTTAAAAGTATGCTCTGCATGGTGACATATAAAGATCTATATCCACTATGTTTAATCTACTATAAAATTTTGGCACTTGACGTTATTTTTACAGACTACGGCTCTACACCATAGACTGATAGTTCATAGAGAAAAAAATTCTTAAACAGATCCTTCCCCTATTTTATTTGATAGATTTTTAAGGCATAATTCCTAATATGAATAAATACTATTAGTTGTACTTAGCAGTTTCAGAGGACTTTTAATGTAAAAAGCAATAGTGTAATGCATTCTAGAATGTGGTTTCCTGGTACAAAAGCCAGATTCCTACATGGTTTATCTGCTTTGCCACGTGTTTGGGGACTCACTCTGAATTTGGTCTTGAGATTTTGCAATTTTAATGGAGGAGCAGTTCATAACTGTGTTATGAACTAAAGAAATTCACAAGAAAACTCAGAATTAACTGAGATATGTATTTAAATTCATTTCAAACTGAAATTTGAAGAGTTGTATAAAGACTGGTAAGAAGGATACTTTAATATTCCTTTCTGGGGAAGCAAGCCTCTTAGTGAAGTGTTACATATACATGACTTCGTACCTTTTTCTCAGATGTTTTTTCAGTTTTTTGCATTTACCTGACCTTTGGCCATTCTTAGAACTCAATCAATTTTTGTAGAGAGCCCTTCAAACTTCTTTCTGTAACAGTAGGATCCAGTTATTGTCTTGGTGGCACATGTAACTGTGAGAATGAAAACATTTTATCACCTTGGAGCCTTTTCTTCTGTGACTGCTTAGAACATGAGGCTGGATCAGATACCTTCTAGGGTACTTCTAGCTGAAATAATTCTACTGTTCTATGAGAAATATGGTTGTATGTTTCTCTGCCCTACTTGATTATCTCAATAGTGGTGTAATTTTTATTTTCTTTTGAAATTGAATTTTTAATCATTTAAGTTAGAACATGCTGTACTGATTATAGACATGTATGCAGTTATGCATCACTGTTCTTAACTAAGAGAGGACTAGAAAAACCTAGAGGATTTGGTTTAGCTAAGTAATAATGTACAAAACAAGAAGCATCTTTTTAAAATCAAATACTAGGTGTGTTGGAAATGTTCCTTCCACCTCTGATTAGACATTGGTGTTTCAAATTGTAGCACATGATGCTTTGAAGCAACATTTCACATGTTGTCTGCCTGAGGCGATTTATAATCTCAATTCAGAGAGCTCTTGTGTCAAGTTATTTCTTAATATCTTGATAAAGCCTTTTAATTCCCTTTTTTTTTCACACAAAAGTAATAGAAATGTTACATTTCCTATTTGTCTGGTGTCTCCACAATTAGAGTATTAAATTTGATAAGACCAAAAATAGGCACGGGCAAATGTTATTATGCTGGTCTGATTTTAGCATTCCGTTAAAAAGGATTTCAATATTCAATTTGTGCAAGTATTTAATATTGTTACTAGGTGGATCTATAAGTGCAGCACAGGCTGCATGTGCTGCCTGCTGACTTGTGCCACACAGATCCCTTACCACAGGAGAAAATCAGCAGCTCCTGCTTGGTAGAGGTGACTACACTCCCTGCTGGGCCTCACCTTTATTTAGCAGGGCAGCAAGTTCTCAGGTGGACATGCTTTCTGTTTGACAGTAGAAAGGAGGAATAGAGTTGGCCTCTTTGGGAAAATCCTGTAAGTGACCAAAATAGGGTAATTTCCCATGGGTGAAATCTGCAAGTGTGCTGGCCTGTGGTTAGAGGCCCTGTTTGACTTGGGGCTCCCAGCATATGGTTAACTCCACTATCTTCCTTTCTTTTCAGTGTGGTCTCAAAAAATCATGATCTTAAGAGGTCTTTTATAGAATCTGAGCACCTTTCTGACTGGGATCATAAAGAAAAAGGCACCTCCTTATATAATTTAACCCACCTCCTGACCCTGAAAAAGCAACCCAACAAACCAAAGCCAAAAGAAAATAATTTTCTAGCATCTTAAGATGCAAATATCCCAGCAGATGGTTGGGCTAAGTGTCAGACTCTTCTGAAGGGAAACACAAGGAAATGCAGGAAGAAAAGGATGTGGCCATGAGGGTAATACTGGGCTGATCCTCAATTTTTGTGGAATCACAGCTTCAGTACTCTTTTCACTGGAGCTTCCTGTGGAGAAATTACAAATACCATTCTTTTTAGTTATAGCTTGCTCAACCCAGGAATTCACAGATACCAAAAAATATCTCAGCATTGCACATTAAATATATGGCTCAACAAGATATTTAAAGTTCCTGTGAGGTGTTAGCTGCTCTTGACAGAAATGAGAGGAACATTTAGGGATCAAGTGGTTTGTGTGATCAAACACTTAATTAAGATTTTCCTTTTACAGCTTCAAAGACACTAAGATTCTCTAAAATAATAAAAACACTTGTTTGTTTTCCAGATCACAGACACTTTCCCTGTTATATTTTTTAATCTTGCCTGGGTTTCTCTGTCATTAAAACCTCAGAGAGGAGCCAAAATAAACTGAGAATATTCAGGATTTCATGCAGTGAGGACCTAAAGATTGATTGCATTTCTGTACTTCCACATAATCACTGCATGACAGACCCCCCCCCCCACTGATTTACACTCACAGTGGTTGAAAATAAGCTCTGAGATAATGAGCTAAAAATCAGAGGCAGAGGGCCACTGAAGCAGAGTTGAACTTGCCCTGGTATTAAGTATACATAGCCATAATCTGCTGCTGAATTGGAAGGCCCAGGGGAAATAAGTGATTTGTTGATTTCACCCTAGATGTGTTAAAATATGCTAATGTTTTTCCAGATGGTACTTATAAAAGCACATCAGACATCTCATCTAGGTGAATCATATTCCTTAGTAAATAGAATAACAGTGCTACCACCTGTATTTTGACAAAAGTTTGAAAAGCTTCCAGTCTGAGATCCCGCATTCCTTAACAAACCTATATGCCTAAATCAACTCCATTGACTCCTAGCATCTCAGCAGCACTGATATTTTAAATATTCTGTTTATTAATTAAGGTAGGAAAGTCCATCTCAAGTTAGCACCTGAACAAGAAAAACATTGTTTGTTGTAAAATAAAAATGAAGTAAAATGTCCCTGGGAATTGTAGACGTTGTTTAAAAAGAAGTATTTTGACATTTTCCCCCAATAAAGATATTTTCTGATGAAAGCTCCCTTGTACAGCAATGCATTATGTAAATATATAAATTTGTTTAAAAAACCAACCGAGTCTGCCGATTATTTTTACCTGCGCCTGCGGCCACCAGGGTGCGGTGCAGTCCCACGAATGGGTCTGAACAACGCCCCGCAGAGCCCTCCCTTCCTTGGTGTGCGCTGGGCTCGCTCCCTCCAGAGCTAAAGCCTCCCCGCCGTGTTGTGCAAGGCTTTGCATTCAGAGAAAAGGCCACAGTAGTCTTATTGGCCGCTTACTGGCCAGCTCGGGGGAGAGCTACAGCAACCTACATTCAAAATTGCTATATAGCATTTTGTTTTCCTCATAAAACAGAGTGGTGATATAACCTTACTTATCTCTCTTTCTACACACTTTTAAAAAGGTGTTTTCTGTTATGTCCTGTTTTGGACAGTTCTCACCACAAATTTGTCAGGGAAACTGAGAAGTCTTTGAAAAGAGATGTTCCAGACTGAGTCTCCTTTAATCTTTCCTGTAGGGAAACACTTTAGATGTTTTTAAATGCCTTTCATTTTGTATTTGGAATATTTTACAAGTATAGATAATGATAGAAACATGCTACTGTGATATGTAAGATTTGAGGCAGATGAGAGCACAACCATTATGCTTAAAATCCTACTCCCTCTTTCCTTTTTTTACTTCCTAGAGAAAAAGGATGTTAAGCAAGATTACATATTAAATTAACAGGGCCATTTGAAAAGGTAATATGGACTGAAGCTTGCCCAGCTGGTTATTGTAATTGCAAGATTTCAGTCCTTCTCCTGAAAGAAAATTCTTGAATCAAAACTGAAATTGAAAAATCCCAAAAATTTGAAATGGAGTGACTACAACCAATTGTACAGAGATGAAATTGGGTGCAGTGAAACGGACCAAAACTTGCCAAATTTATTCCCATTGAAATCCCTAAAATCCGTGAAGAAAGGGAAACAAAGAGACAGAAGAGGGACTGAAAAAATAAAATTTTTAAAAAACTCCCAACATGAAAACAAGGAAAACCAATAGGATGACATGAAGTGCAGGAATATAGAGCAAAGCTTGCCCATTTTATCCTCATTGAAATCTCAAGATTTCATTCCCTTTCCTGAAGGGAAATTCTTCCTTTTGGGCATCCTTCCTTTCAACAGCCACAAAGTTTTTGAAATTAAAATCTCTTTAGACAAGAGGAAGCATGCCAGGAAAACTTCAGGCCTGCACTTGTATATGAAGAGAACTGCCTTGAGTCTGCTCAGAGGATTAGTGGGTGAAATCCTCTGGGAAAATATTTTTGCTGGTGCTGGCATTCATCAGTGCTGCTCACTTTTTAGACATCACCTCCTAAGATCCCAGGAGAAAGCAATTCCCAAGTGTCATAAGTCAGGGTGATGCAGAAGGCTATCTTGGCTGAACAGAGATTTCATTTGGAAATTAAAGAAGGTGTATACCCAGGTCAGGTGACATGGGAAGAATACAGAGATGCTGTTTGCCACTGTAGGGAAAAATACTGTGAGGCCAAAGTTCAGTTGGAGATGAAGCTGGCCAGAACCGTGGGGGACAATAAAAAATATTTTTTGCAAATATATTATTGGCAAAAGGCAGTGCAAAAATAACATTGTGATGTTTAAGGATGAGGATGGTTGTCTTACAAACAGGGACGGAGACAAGGCAGAGGTGTTTAATGCATTCTTTGCCTCTGTCTTCAACATGGATGGTGGACCAAGGGAGTCTCAGTGCTCTGAGCTGAGATTTTTGAGCAGTCTTGGGAATCTGGAAAAGTCCCAGCTGACAGGAAGCTGGAAAATGTTGTCCTGATTTTCAGGAAGGGCAAGAAGGAGGATGTCAAAAATGACAGGCCTGTTAGTCTCATTTCAGTGCTGGGTAAAACCATGGAAAAATTATTCTGGGAAGTATTGAAAATATACCTGGAGGACAACACAGTCATTAGTCACAGACAGCATATCTTCATGAGATGGAAGTCCTGCCTGTTGAACCCGTTTTTTTCCTGTGACAGGGTATTCCACCTAACTGATCATTTCTACTACATGATGCAATGTCCAACATGTGGGGCAACATTTTCCTAAGGATGGGGGAAGAGCTGCAATGAATATAGGCAGACTTTTGGATGTGGAAGGGCACAGTGGAGGCCTTCTGCCAAAAATTAGCCCCATGACTTTGTCATTGTTCAACCAAAATGCTTTTCAGGAGTAACTGTTCAGGATAGTGGCCCAGTGCCTGTGCACTTTGGTTCTCCTTGAATTATGCTCTGTGTGTACTTCCTGGTTTCCTTTATGAAGAGGAGCATGCTAAATAAAAAATGAAGGATATTGTGAGGTCAACTCATACTTGTAAAATCCAGAGTGATTCAACTTGGAGAGATTTAGGATTTTCTGCCTTTCTGTGAGCCCAGTGTTATTACATCTAGAGTTTCCAGAGCACTGGTAATGTTGAGTTTGAAATTCTTGGTTGTCTCTACAGTGGCTTTGCCTTGGAGTCTTGAAGATAAATTATCATTTGCTCTGTGTCTGAGGAGGTCTGTGACACACATCTGCCACAGTAAGTTGGGATCTCAGGTAGCACACTTGGAGGAAACAAATCAGTTTACTAAAGGGAGAAAAGCCCTTGACAAGAAGTAATCTTGGCTGTTATTCCTTTGAAATGTTTTTTTGAAATGGTACATTCTGACAGAACACTTCTATTTTGACAAATTCATATTTTCTAGTGGAAACAGGTTGTTAGAATATTTCCAGCTCTCTGGAAGTTAAATTTAGTGAATGTATTATTCATGGCACCCTAAATAGTACCTCTCAAAGCAGAGCTGTCCCAGTCATTTAATTCACTACATAATCAATGTTTACCCAAGCATCTCTTCATTTTTGTTGTCTGTTTGTAAACTCTTTGCCACATGCCTTTTTGATGAAGTGGTCAGCACTGAGCAGTGGTTCAGAGGAAGCTCTCTCATTGATTTTTATGATGGTGTTCATTTTCAATATCGTTTTTAACATTACTCTGTTTGCATCCTAACATTTGTTCTTTTGATCAATGCCATGTATTGAGCAGAGACTGTTATTGACTGGTTCTCAGAAGTATCCAAGTCCTTTATTCCCCTCTGCATTTGCAGATAATTAGGAGTCCTGTAAGGTACATTAGTAGGTCAGATTATTCTTCCCAATGTCTATCACTAGCTTCTCTTTTTGAGCCCCGCAAGGCAGGCAGGCAGTGGTGCTGCAATCAGGCTTCCCCCCGAGGTGCACAGCTTGAAATTTGGTCTGGGACTCTGCAAGCACACTGCACCAGCAGCTGTCCAGCACAGGCATGGAAAATCTTCCCCACAGAGACCTGTCCTCTTTATCATCAGTGTGACGCCCCCCTCTTGCTCTCACAATTACTCATTCCAGCTGCAGGTTATCAGAGGAGAAAATACTGAGGAGAAGGTAACACGTCCTTAGTTCTCTCAAAGAACTGTGACTCAGAAGCCTAGCTTTTTGGAAATTATGGTGTATGAAGAAACTATTACATGAGGTAATATTAGTATTACCCTAAAAATCATCAGATACATAGCTGGTGAGCACTATGATTTAGGATGAGAATTGGCAAGATAACTGCCTTAATTTATGTTGTTAATCTCAATCCGATAAAATTGTGGCCTTTGCTTAAACATCCTATTTTTAAGGGAACTGAAGGCTTCCTTAAAACTAACCTCATGACTGTTGTCAAAATGCTCAATAGTTTGGAATTTTGTTATTCTTTGATATGTGCTTTTAATTGGTGGTGTTCTCTGCAAACTATGCTGTGAGTTGAGCACACCATGCTGGGGAGCTGAGCACACTGAACAACCAACACAGACTATCTGGTACAGGCAAATACAAAGAGCAAATAACACAGAGGGGAAAAAAGGCAAAATGTATGGTAGCATGGAGATTTTATTTTTTTTTCCCATCAAAATGAAGAGGAAACTTGATGTTGGAGTGATCAGCTTGGAAAGATATTTAAATGAATAAATTATCTAGATTTCATGGATGAATGTTTTCTACCTTTAGTAGGCACCTGTTAAGAGATCAGTTTACACTCTTGGGCTTTTGCAGTGTAACATTTTCCTGCTTGTAAAACAAATAGCAAGGATTAAATTAGATTCTTTTTTTTTTCCTGGCAGATTAAGCATCTGCCTTCTGTCAGGTTTCCTGCTCAATACTTCTTGCCAGTACTTGCTTATGAAAGAAATTTGTCAGCTACTAAAACATCGAACTAGAAATGATCCTTTGCATACATTTATAACTCAGTAGTAACACAAGTTATATCTGCAATTTAACTTTCAATTACTTTCTGGAGGAGTACTGTCCAGGAGAGAGCCTGCTCATTGTAACTTGCTCAGTCATGGCCTATAAGGATGATTAAAAGCAGGTGTGACAAGAGACTCTTCCTCCTGATTACACATCCTTCTGGTTATTCTTGCAAAATGATCTAAAAACAATAAAACTGCTACCACTGAATAATCTAATAATAATGGTCAGCCCATTTAAAAAAACCTCCCCCTTTCCCAGTCTTACAAGTTGTTGGCACTAAATTGTCAGCCAGGCCTCCAGAAATATGAATTTTTTTTTTGTTTTACTTTACTTTCCCAAGGAATGATCAATATTAAAAATTAAGAAAGAATCAAATTAACTTCTCTATGACTCCTGTGCAAACTTCACTCTTCAGATTATTTATTGACAGCACCATGGCTAATCCAGGACACACAGATTGTTGAAGTGTACCTTAGCAGAGTTTAAATAATAAGCTTGTTAATGAAGCATGAGAACTGGCAGCATCCTGCTCAGCCTCTCTGCTGTGTTGGGGGTAAATGCACAAAACTTCTTTATTTTGCATAAGGTTTTCTCTATCTAATGGAATTTAACTGTAGAAATGTGAAGCTGATAGGGTAAATGATACCTTCCCTGTAAGGTGACACTTTAATCTCTGATTTCTCCGCTCTCACCTGACCCCAGGAATTTCCCTTAGAATTGTA